CATGTAATTATTTCAATGTTACATGTGCGCAAAGAAATTCGGTGCACCCAGCATTGAAAATTTGCCACCATCATTCCGGCGGAGACAGTGAACTGGACCTGCCCTAACGTCTTCTCGAGAAGTGGAACAATGCGCTACTGAGTATAGTTATGCCAGCCATACATGTCGTTCATGCATTTGTTCCTTTCTTTAGAGATTAAAACAGGCATATTTTTAACCAGACGAAGATCAAGGAAGCAGTGGAATTTTTGCTCTGCTTTTGTGAAGCTTAACAAAATTGCATCGGCTTCAACCCAACCAATCATTTGGCAATAGAGTGGCCTTAAGGATATTTTGCAAATTGTCATGTGCATTACGAAATTTTTTAAACAGAGCTGATTGAAGGGCAGCTAATCAGAACCTACAAGTGAAAATTTACAAAAAATTGTGACAGTTGTCTGGCAACTGGGATTGTTCATGGTGTAAAAAATCAAAATTACTTAAACTAAAAACCCTAATAATTGACAAAAGGGGAGACATTGGATCTTTCTAAACAAACACTTTGTGCTCCGATGCACATTTTAAATGTGCTTAATCAGCTATGGAGTGCCAAATTATTCAATGACATTGATCTCACTATGGCTACTACTGCGCAGCCTTTATGTGTGCTTCCAGTTCACTTCAAAAACAGAAATACAATGCTTCTGTAAATATTGTCAAATTTATTTTGATCAGTGCTTCATGCAGCTGGCTAAAGGTGCATGAATTCGTTGCTCACAAAATTATGCTTATACGAGTGGAGTGGGAGGCAAGCGAAACAAAAAAAATGATGAGATTAAAGGGAAAAAAAGGGAGCTCGTGATGTGCCAAAGTTAAGTGATTATTCGTGTACATGAAAAAGCACTTTTCTTTAATTTGATTTGTCCATTATGACATCCTGGTTCACGAGTACTCAACAAATTCTTTTGGGTTCATATACGTTCGTGTCCTGAGATAGTTGATCTTACTCTCTAAGCGAGATGGATTGGAGGAAATTCCACTCACCAAATGGGCAAACGGTGAGTAATTGGCAATTACGGAACTCGACGCATCTGTACTTAGGTTTCATTTAGTTGCATTTGTTTTCGACCCGTAATTTGGTGTTAATAAAACACATAAGTCCACTACTTTGACACCTGTCTTGTCATTGACGTGAAGCAATTACCGAGGGAGCTTCAAAGAAAAGGTGGGTAGAATGAATGGTGTTGATGTGTTTGCAGCTAAATTTGCAGCAACTATCCCATTTAAAATATTTATTTTCTAGAGTCAAAATGAGCCTCTAAAACACTACTACACGCTATATTGTGTTCTCTTGCTTATTTATATAGAAAAAGGGAAACGATATTCCAGTATTTAGTCTACGCAATGTTTCAAGCATTTAGGTGATTATGTATTTGTACACTGACTTACAACTGGTGCCATATATCGCGTTCCAGCTTTGCTATCTCGCTACGTGGTTAGGCTCACTTGACCTTTCTAGTTGAAAAGGTCACCGGTGAATGAGATGTCACAGTGATTAGACCGGATGGGGACTCGTAAACAAAAACTAATGCATAAAGTTCTTCAAAATATATGCAGGGGCTAAGCTACGTGGTCGAAAGACAAGCGCAGGCAAGTAGAGGAGTAGATGGATGTGGTTTCTTTCGAGTCGGTATTATCTGCGACGTGTTAAATGATCGTTTTTGCGGCAGCAGTATAAACTTGGTTCATAACCACCAAGACTCCAGGAGAGAGAGTGAGCATGAACAAAAAAGCAGGTGTTACACTCTTGATGCTCCATCTACTGTAAACTTCTATGGGATTGTGTCTGAGAAAGAATTTCTTGAGACTTGATCCTCTTTTGGCAGATTGTTATAAATCAATGATATGTGGTGGTAGGGAGAAGATAACCCGGTTCCAGTCACAACGCTTTTGACTGAAAACCACAATAAACAGTCGCAAATAAATTTAATGCGACTTTTTTAATTTTCCGATAAGGCATGCTCCTAAATCACTGTGAGATTATTCAGAAAAGTCCTTCTTTCTTTCTTACCAAAAACGCGTCATCATTCATTTTTGCAACTGTTATGAAAGTTCTTTTCCTACTTTCTAGGCAAATATTCCCCTTGCGTGATTACCCTAGTAGACACTGACAACAAAATCCTTGCAAATGCAGCGCCTTCGCTCACTGTTTCTTTATTCACCTAAAAGATTTGACCAGAGGGCTGCTGAAACCAACTGCAAAATAAGCACAATTGGT